GTCATGCTGGAGGATGTTGCAGGCAGCGGAACGTTCTCCACGGCGTCTCCAGACCCTGTCACGTCTGTCACCTGTGCTCATTGTGAATCTGCTTTCATCTGTGAAGAGCACAGGGCGCCAGTGGCGGATTTGCCAATCTTGGTCTTCTCTGGCAAATGCCAAACGTGCTGCACGGTGTTGGGCTGTAAGCACAACCCCCACCTGGGGACGTCGGGCCCTCATACCACCCTCATGGAGTCTGTTTCTGCCCGTTTGAGCAGACACATGCAGATTTGTGGCCCGCTGGAGGTCATTTTGCAGGGCTCTGGCAGTGCTCCTCCTATCCCTCCTTGCACAAAGGCGGAGGAAGCGGTCCTGATACTGGGTTGTTGCCCTCCTACGGCCTCCTCCACATCTCCTGATGTACTGGCCTGTCTCCTGGTAGCGCCTCCATGCTCTGGACACTACACTGACAGACACAGCAAACCTTCTTGCCACAGCTCGCATTGATGTGCCATCCTGGATGAGCTGCACTACCTGAGCCACTTGTGTGGGTTGTAGACTCCGTCTCATGCTACCACTAGAGTGAAAGCACCGCCAGCATTCAAAAGTGACCAAACCATCAGCCAGAAAGCATAGGAACTGAGAAGTGGTCTGTGGTCACCACCTGCAGAACCACTCCTTTATTGGGGATGTCTTGCTAACTGCCTATGCTTTCCACCTGTTGTCTATTCCATTTGCACAACAGCATGTGGAATTGATTGTCAGTCAGTGTTGCTACCTAAGTGGACAGTTTGATTTTACAGAAGTGTGATTGACTTGGAGTTACATTGTGTTGTTTAAGTGTTCCCTTTATTTTTTTGAGCGGTGTATAAAGCAGATAAATAAGTAACACAAAATCTAAGGCACTTTAAGCAGCAAATGCAGCAATAGAATAAAAATATATATGAATATAATAAATGTATGCTGCATGGGAGCAGCATGTGCAGCAGTCAACAGTCAATGTGCAATTATGCATGTGCAAACTGAGAATGTAAACAGTACATCATGTATTTCCTGGTAATAAACTCCTCAGCTGTTTAGGAGTCTGATGGCAGAAGGAAAGAAAGAGTTTTTCAGTCTAGATGTTCTGCATTTCACACTTCTGAACCTCCGGCCAGAGGGTAGGGAGGGGGGTGCTGGGGGTGAGTGGGATCTTTGAGGATAGAGGCAGCCTTCCTGCGCACACTGCGGTGGTAAATGCTCTGCAGAGAGGGCAGTGGAGTCCTGGTGATCTTCTCCGCAGTCTTTACCACTTTCTCTCTCTCTCTCTCTCTCTCTCTCCTTCAGTCTCATTGCTCAGCTCTGGCACAGAGCTCTCATGGGCAGGTTAGGTCCTTGGGCAGTCAAGATGTTGCAGGAAGTCATTTTCAATGGCTGCGGGGGGGTGTCACTGTTGACTGCTGCACATGCTGCTCCCATGCAGCATACGTACATTTCATTGTACAGGGAAACACGTTTCCTAACTGTGCATATGACAAATAAACACTTTGAACTTTGAACTTTGCAGGGGCTTGCGGTCCATAGCAGTAGTGCTGCCACATCAGACAGGGATGCTCCTTTTATATCCAATCATGACGTTCACCTGTTTCCAATAAACTTGTTCACCTGTGGAATGTTCCAAACAGGTGGGTTTTTCTTTTTTAGCATTCCTCAACGTTCCCAGTCTTTTGTTGCCCCTGTACCAGCTCTTTTGGAACATGTTGAAGGCATCACATTCAAAATGAGTGAATATTTGCAAAAACAATAAAGTTGACCAGTTTAAACATTAATATCTTGTCTTTGTGGTGTATTCAATTAAATATGGGTCAAAAAGGATTCGCTAAAGTCATTGTATTCTGTTTTTATTTACATTTTACACAATATCCCAACTTCATTGGAATTGGGGTTTGTAATGGAATTTATACATTTATGACAATTTCACACCAATAACTGAAACATTTTGAGTTTCATAAACACAAATGTTAAGGAGGAAAGAGGAGCTACTCTGAAAGGCTGAAAATACATTGTCTGACTAATGGCCCACCATCAGTGTGGAGGAAAGTACAGAACATCATTGGCTACAGCGCCCCCTGCAGTTTGCCTCCTGAGCAAATAGGTCAGATGAGGCTGCATGCCATCCTGCAACATCTTGACTGCCCAGGGACCTAACCTGCCCATGAGAGCTCTGTGCCAGAGCTGAGCAGTGAGACTGAAGGAGAGAGAGAGAGCGGGGGGATGCGCTCGCGCTCGTGCTCGTGCTGAATCCCATTCACGCCTGAGATTCTCCACCGGTTACTGAGCGCTAATGAACAGAGATGTTCAGAAGCAGAAGCGAGGCTAGCTTTCTTCCTGACACAAATCACCAGGGTGGGAGCCGCAGCCTCGGTTGTATTTTTCTCTGCCAACGTCGCTGGCCACAGCAGAGGATAAGGGGGGTGGTCTGACTCCCCACACACACTTACAAGGGATTTCAAAGGTCTAAACGTAAAGCACTGGCGTGGTGTTGTGACTAGCTGTGGGCTACTGTGGCTTTCCTGGATGTGCAGCCTGCTCGGTGCTCCCAGAAACCCCGAGAGGAAAACGCTCACCGGGCTCCACGGAACAAAGCTGAAGGAGAAGAAGCTTTGTGTGGACGCACCGTGACAGAAGGCAGCACGAAGATAAGTGGCATTAATGGTCCTTTCACTGGACGTAGGCCAACTGAGCTGCTCTAATAAATTGTCAACAATGTAACTTCTTGGTAAGTTACCTAACTGCAAGTGTCTTCGACATTAAATACATTGTTTATAATATTCATCTGGGTTACGATTTTACAAGGCTTGTTGGCCTTAGTTATGGTAACATTATAAGCCACTCATAAAACAACAGCATTTTCTAACCTTAATAGAGCTAATATAGCAAAATGCTATAGGCCTACAGCTATTTTTCCAGATTAAGAATTTTATGATGTGCAGACGTGTCTTTATTTCATACTGTATTTGGCTAAATGTTGTAGACTGTAGTTTCCACTGTATTACTGCAGTGGCACTTAAACGTAGGCTATCATAATGTGAATGCAATGAAATCTAGTTCTGCAAACACATATTTTAATCAAATATGCCATAAAATTGGAAAATGTATATGTAAATGGAATTACAGTTCACCTGGAGAACTAAGGTTAATCTAGCAAAAACAGGCAACAAGTGGTTCGACCTGAACATCTTGAAGTGCTGATAGACAAACACTAACATCCTATCAAAGTAGTGAATTCTATTCTATTCTATTCTATTCTATTCTATTCTATTTTGAAGTAGGAATTTTGACACAGTTGCTAAATTACTGACTTTTCAGAAGTGCCGTAAAAACACTTGTCACATATAAACGTGTTATATTAAACACTTTTGTTTTACTTTGCTATTAAAAACTTACAGACATATAGGTAGGTAGACAGATAAATAAATATTGTACTATTAATTCAGCCCAGCCTAATAAGTCAGTGTTTACTCATGAACACAGACTTGACTTCCCTATGTCTTTTCCTTCCTTCTGTTGATGGATTTGAAGATGATGAGAATACATGGACGTGAAGGAGTTATCGGCTGCTGTATCTGAAGAAGCCAGCAGTGACTGACTCTAATCTGAATGGATGTGTGTGAGACAAGGGATACGTTTTATTGTGTTGTTTTTGTGCTTCATTGATGGATTCACCCGGTAGCACAGCCGTGCATGGCAGAAGTGGCAGCAGCTACACAGGTGCCAGCTCTGGGCCAAGCCTCACCAACCAGCTGGGCACAGCCTCACCTGTTGTGCCAAGGTAATTCACTTGGCCCCTCCACCTCTCAGTCTGTCTTTTCTGCTTTGAAATTAGAGCTGCACTGTTAGAGCAACATTACCATCTTTCCTGGACCATCAAAGTAGAAGAACTAGCTAATTTTAATAGAGATTAGAAATTCATTTCATATCTCAGGTGTAACGTAGACTGATACCAAAAGTCAGAGATCAGCCCCTCAGCATCAGTGATGTGATTACAAATTCTGGGCTTCCCTCAGGACAATATCTACCATTTCTGTAATGTTCCAGAAGCTCTGGAACATTGAATTGATCACAGTGTCATGGTGCTGTAAGATACCAAGCTGTCAGTGAGAAAATTTAATGTAACCTAGTAAAAAATCTGCTGCACAATTCCCAGTAAGAGTGGTGTGATATTGAAGCCTCTATTTATGCTATGGGATGACACAGTAACCTTCATTTTTAATATTTTATTTTGAAACAACCTCATTAAAAAATTAATGCTATAATTTCTGAGAACATAGACAAAAACAACATTGAAACTGGTAAATCCGAAGTCGTTACGACAGCTAACATTAACACTAGTGTTAGCAACAGCACCACAGCAGAGCCAGTCACTGTAAGAGAGAAGCAGTAGCGGGGTCTGCAGGAAACAACAGGCTGGTGCCTCTGCCTGTGTTCGAGCTACTCTGGCTTTGGCTGGCAGACAAAACCCTTACCTGGTATCTGGACAGGAGGCACAGACTGTCACTGAAACATGATTAAAAAATAAAACTTACTGTTGAACTGCTGCAAGGATATGATAAATTAAAGCTAATATAAAGATGGGTATGCCATAGCCACAGCAAAATGAGTTAGTAGGTGATATTAATGTTATTCATATCATAAATTAGATACTGAATGTGGTATTTTAAGTAACACACTGTCATTTTAAGTTACTAAAGTGCACCATATATGTTATACACCCAGACTGTGATATTATAGTAATATTATACAAGGCTTAAAATAAACTGAACTGAGTTTCATTACTTATGATTCAGTAGACATACCTTTGGCAATCTGTTTATAAACTGTTATCGATTAAGCTATTTTAGCTGTTCAGTGACTGTTCACCTATGGAACGTTTCAGCTTTATTTAGCAGTTTAAAACATTTGTTAAGAAGACAAAAAAAAGTAATAAGTTACAAAAGTAATTAAAAAGTTACATTGTTGCATTTTTTTTAAACAGGTAACTAGTAATGTGTAACCATTACTAGTACATTTTGAAAGTAACCTTTCCAAACACTGTGCATAGTATATTGCTTTGATTGATGTGAACAGTCTTAGCTGTTCCTTGGATGGAATGTTACAGTATGGATGAATACATCACTTAACACTGATGGGTCAAACATATCTTTATCTAAAATTAAGAGAAGAAATACCCTAACACCAGCGGTTTACTGCCATCACCAGCTGTAAGTGTCAAAAAGGGCTGCTAGTTTTCATGATAGATCCATGAAAAATAGGACCCAATATCAAATCTTGATACTTTTTATGTGTGGCGTAAAAGTAACACCGCATTTCAGAAAAAGAACATCATACAAACAGTAAAATATTGGTGGTGGTAGTGTGATGGTCTGGGGCTGTTTTGCTGCTTCAGGCCCTGGAAGACTTGCTGTGATAAATGGAACCCTGAATTCTGCTGTGTACCAAAATATCCTGGAGGAGAATGTCCGGCCATCCGTTTGTGACCTCAAGCTGAAGCGAACTTGGGTTCTGCAGCAGGACAATGATCCAAAGCACACCAGCAAGTCCACTTCTGAATGGCTGAAGAAAAACAAAATGAAGACTTTGGAGTGGCCTAGTCAAAGTCCTGACCTGAATCCAATTGAGATGCTGTGGCATGACCTTAAAAAGGCGGTTCATGCCCGAAAACCCTCCAATGTGGCTGACTTACAACCATTCTGCCAAGATGAGTGGGCCAAAATTCCTCCACAGCGCTGTAAAAGACTCATGGCAAGTTATCGAAAACGCTTGATTGCAGTTGTTGCTGCTAAGGGTGGCCCAACCAGTTCTTAGGTTTAGGGGGCAAACACTTGTTCACCCAGGGCTATATAGTTTTGGATTTTGTTTTCCCTTAATAATAAAAACCTTCATTTAAAAACTGCATGATGTGTTTACTTGTGTTATCTTTGACTAATATATAAATTTGTTTGACGATCTGAAACATTACAGTGTGACAAACATGCAAAAAGATAAGAAATCAGTAAGGGGGCAAACACTTTTTCACACCACTGTATTCTCTGATGATTTATGATTTAAATAATTTTGCCTGATTTATTCTCTGTTTCATTTACCTGGTTACTATGCTGTATTTTAAACATTATGAATTTGAGATGTTTGATTTATTTATTTAGGAAAGTTTTTATTTAAAAATACATATATTACTCAAAATAAGACGCTGAAAACAGCATTGTTATGGTATTATACCAAAAGTCATGCTACCATCAAAACATTTGTGTGCAAGAAGCGCTGTAAGTAGCTATGAGATCATACTGTGTCCAGACTGTGCTGATTGTACAATAAGTTTTGTCTTTTTGTTTTTTCATTCTTCAGGGTTGTTTCCATGGTCACCAGCCTAGTGACCACCACCACGGAGGCCACAGTGGGAGCCATAGGGAACCTATCTGCATTTAGAGACCAAAGAGGGAGTGAGCTCAGTCAAAGCCATCAAGCATCGAGCCCATCTGTACTTAGTGCTGCTGATAGTAACTCTGTCCTGCATGGCATCACCGTGGCAGCTAAGGCCCTGGTACTTCTCTCCATCTTCCTCCTCTCAAGCCTTGGTAACTTGGCAGTTGTCATTGTCATCATTAAACACAGACAGCTTCGAACGGTGACCAATGCTTTCATCATGTCGCTGTCGCTGTCTGACTTCCTCACAGCTATCCTATGTCTGCCGTTCTCCTTCATAATGCTTTTTAGTAAGGACGGTATCTGGATGTTCGGGGATCCTTTCTGTGTGGCCAATGGCTTTTTCAACACCTGCTTTGGTATAATCTCCACGCTGACTATGACTTTGATCTCCTTTGACAGGTACTATGCCATAGTCAGACAGCCACAGGCTAAAATAGGGCGACAGGAAGCTACTCAGTTGTTGATAGCTGTATGGATAACTGCAGTTATTTTCTCTTTACCGTGGTATTTGCTCATCCGAACACCTACTGAAATCCATAAGCGAGGTTTCTACCACTGTATGTATGTGTTCCACTCTGGGACCTCGCACATGGGGACGGCTTATAGCATCTGCCTTATTGTTGTATGTTATTTATTGCCCTTTTCCCTCATGTGCTTTTGTCATTATAACATCTGTAAGACAGTACGGCTCTCTGAAATCCGAGTCAGGCCAGTGACCACATATGCATACTTGCTGCGATTTTACAGTGAAATGCGAACTGCCACCACAGTTCTGATTATGATTGTTTTCATTATTTTTTGTTGGGGGCCGTACTGTTTAATGGGATTGGTTACAGCAGTGGGAGACTATGCGTTCAACCCTGCAATGGACACAGCAGCTATCTGGCTAGCATGGGCAAACGGAGCCATCAACCCTCTGATTTATGCCCTGAGGAATCCCAATATATCTATGTTATTGGGGCGAAGTAGAGAGGAGGGTTATCGGACCAGAAATATTGCTGCGTACCTGTCCAGTCAAACACAGAACCGTGAGATTCGACTTAACCAAGCAGACAGGATAAGGGACCACTATGTGAGTCGCGCAGGGGTGAATCATAACAGTCGGCTGTCAAATTCAAGCCCAGGAAAAGGAGGAGGTGGAGGAGAGGTGGCAATGTGGGCCTGTAAAAACCCTGCTGTGTTCTTCTGCAGGGATGCGCAGCCTGACACTACAACACTACCCAGCTCTATCAGTGCTCCAAAGATGAAGACAGCTGACACCAGCCTATGACATTCTGCAAGAACTGTTTACCCCTATAATGAATGTTTACATCTTATAAGTACTAGTTGTTATGGATCTGGAGATGGCTATCACCGTTTTGTGACAGTTTAGAAATAAGTAGATATTTAGATCTTTTCAGATCACAGAATCTAAAAAATGATCCCGAAGGGCCTCTGGATTCTCTTCCAAGTGGATGCCAAGCATTTTTGTAGGGGGGCATGAAAGTTTGTGCTTGTGCTGCAAAGGTTTTCATGTCAAATATCATTTCATGTGTAAATGCAGCATGTGGATAAAGGATCTTGCATTTACTTAATCCTAAACCTTCCATGCATCCTGTACATGTACCTTTCAGACTGTATTTACCAGAAAACTGACATTTTTAAAAGTGTTTATAAAAACCTAAAATTAGTTTCCTAACAAGCAACATCTTGCTGTCATGTGAGTCATGACTGGAATGTCCTTTGTCAGAAACAATGACAAACTAGATGGAACCTCTGAGGACTGGCCAGCTTGTGATGTTAACACAGTTTACTCAAGACACATTTGTACTATTGACTCCTGTTTGATAATTGTACATTATATATTATAGTTTATACTCTGACAGAGCACGGTTGTAATAAAGTGGATGGTGCAATGTGTGTATGCTAGAGGGTGGATACCCCAACCGAGCCCAACAGGACCCACCAGTATCCGAGGATTTGGGTCGGGTTTGAACAGAAATTTATAAATGATGGTTGGGTTTGGCCATGCAGGTCAAACTTTAGGCTAAACAGGTATAATTTCACTTGTAAATTAAGCTGGGCTTTCTCTTTAGTGTAAGTTAATTTAAAGTGCTAGGCCGATTAAAAATTAAAATGATGAGCTGGATAAGGGCATGATGATGCTATCCATGATCACTAGTTGGGGAAGCAAGTGCTGCCAAGTCTTTGGCCCTGTGAATAGATCCATTGTGCTAATCTCACAGAAAAGAACTGATTTCACTCGTAGGTTTTGATGTGTTAAATGCTGGTGTAACCAGGGCAGCATGGTTGATTGTGTGTTGGATTAAGTGTCTTTCAGCGCTGGAGGGACTATGTCTCTCGGCTGGCCTGGGAACGCCTCCGCCTTTCCCCTTTTTTTAAGTGTCTGGAGAGAGGGAAGTCTGGGCATCTTTGCTTAGACTGCTGCCCCTGCGACCCGGTCCCGGATAAGCGGAGGAGAATGGATGGATGGATGGATGTATCAACTTGAACGTCTCAAGTTTTGGTTACATTCTCACAAATATAGTAACAGTGAAAATTGATTTAAAATGAAATGGCATAATACAAAACCAGTTTAGATATCAAAATGTATCATAAACACCTGGAACATGTTGGAATCAGACATACGAATTAGTTACTGGATTTGAAGTGCACTGTTTTCAGGACACGATGTTGAGCTTTCTAATAGGCAGAGTCATTCCTGTTTGTATAGTGTATATGCTGGCCATTCTCAAATCTCCCATTGTGCACTTTGTTTTAAAGAGCGGTATAATGGAAAACAAAAACAACAAAGAGGTCTGAGATGGATCAGGGTGATGGTGGAGGTCGGCCTCTGCTGTCAAATGACTAAAATTTATATTTGCAGTGTTTTTAGTTTTTTTATTATTATTATTTTTAATCTCCTGCCTCAAGAACAAGAGTGGATTAAACTGTGCCAGTTGTAATATGACACCTTAAAATTGAATATGCAGGAATAAGCCCTGCGCAGCACTACAGTTATGCTGCACTTGACTATACTTCCCTTAACCATCACCGAGCTTAGCCTCTGGGTCTGACACAGACCGTCCTGCTTTGTTTTTGCACTGTATTTTCTCTGCAGACACTTGAACCTGTCACAGGATGACATCTTAAAAATAGTAAACATTAAAATATTAAAGGCTCTTTCATTTCTCTCCTTCTCTGAGGTGCAACAGGTGTCCCATTGTCTCCATCCAGTCTGGGCAGCCGTCCAAGTAACAGACTGATAAGTTTTTTCTCTCTCTTACCTGTTTTAAGACTATTGGGGTCATCTCCCAGTCAACTTTTTCACCTGTGCCTGTACCACCCTTATCAGCCTCATTCATAACAAAACTGAGCAAATCTAACAAATACTGATAAATAAATTGAAGTAAAATAAACATTAAAATTGAAGTAAAAAAAATAAGTATGATGAATAAATGAGAATAAGACTAATGAAATACCTTAACTCTCTTGGTCTCCCACACCTGACTGTCCGCTGAAGTCTGTACTTGTTCTGTTTGGTTGCTGAACCAAACCAGACAGTGATGAAAGAGCAGAGAACAGACTTGATGATTCCTCTGTAGACCTGTATCAGCAGCTCCTGGGGCAGGTTGAACTGCCTACTGAACTGAACTGCCTAAACTGATAGTCCAGGTGCTGAATGTGGTTTTCCCCAGCCTCACCTGCTGCTTTCTCTCTGCCAGAAAGCTGGTGATCTACTGACAGGTGGGGGCAGGCACAGTGAGTTGGGTGGGTTTAGAGTGGAGGATGTCCTGGATGATGGTGTTGAACACCAAGTTGAGGTCCAAAACGAGGACCTGTGCATAGGTCCCTGGGAAGTCAAGATGCTGCAGGGTGTAATGCAGTGCCATGATGACTGCATCATCCACTGACCTGTTTGCCCAGTAGGCAAACTGCAGGGGGTCCAGCAGGGGGTGTACGATGTTCTTCAGGTGGGCCAACACCAGTCTCTCAAAGGGCCTTATAACTATAGTTGTATGGTGAGGTGGGTGAGGGGTTTGGAGTTCTGCTTCTCAAATCTACAGTAAAACACATTCACCTTGTCTGCCAGTCAATAGTCTTCTACAGCAGGGGGGTGGTTTCCTGTAGCCAGTGATAATTTTCAGGGTTCTCCACACAGATGAGGGGTTATTGGCTGAAAACTGTTTTTTCAGAGTAGCTCCTCTATGCTACTCTGATCTCCCTTGTCAGTGTGTTCCTGGCCTGGTTGTACAGGTTCTTGTCCCCAACTTCTGTAGGCCTCCTCTTAGGCACGATGAAGGTGCTTGAGTCTTACTGTGAACCAGGGCTTGTTGTTGTATGTGCAGAAGGTCTTGGTGGGCACACACACATATCCTTACAAATGCTGATGTATGATGTCACAAGGTCACTGAGTTCATCCAGGTCTGTAAATGCAGCCTCAAATACACTCCAATCTGTGCAGTCAAAGCAGGCCTGTACTTTTAATTTTGCCTGCTCGGCATCTCTTCACTGTTCTGACCACAGGCGTCACAGCTTTAAGTTTCTGCCTATAGGTTGGGATGTGATGGACCATGCAGTGATCAGAGTCCAAGGGCTGTACGTGAGACAGAGCAATAGGCGTCCTTTATTACCGTGTAGTAGTGGTACAATGTGTCGTAGTCCTTGGTGGGACAACTGACATGTTGTCTGTATTTGGGCCATTCATGGGTGAGATTTGCTCTGTTAAAATCCCCGAGGACAGTGAGTGGGGAGTCGGGATGTTTCAGCTCCACGCTAGTTACATGGTCAGTTTCTTCCCCCACACCAACATAATGAATAGAACTGTTGTATATAACAATCTGAGAGCTTTTCTGCCACACTGTATATGTGTATATATATTTATAAATAGATTTTCTTTTCTTTTTTAACTCCTATTTTCTTACCATTTTAATTTCACATACTTTCCTGTTTTCTAGCTGGCTTACAAGCAAATTCAGAGCCTCTGTACTGGAGATAAATGTATTGTGTGTTCAAACATACTTGGCCAGTAAAGGTTATTCTGATTCTGAATGGTCATAACTGATTCAGTCATTAGACTTTCCCTTTAACAGATTAACAGTGTATAATTAATTATTATATACAGTATAATGATGGCGGTGGGGTATAAGACACTTTAAGGTCATTGTTATAAATAATGATGCAATATCCAGTGTTAGCCTGAAAATGACTTATTGCACCTGTATGATATCATAGAATAATTATAGAATTTTATCATACATTTTTATTAAGCCTCATTTTAATTCTGTTCAACCATTAGTCAGGCTTGTTTTTCAATTGTTACCTAATTGTTTCTAGACATAGGACAGTTACAACACTGTGTGTAGTCAGTAATTACTGTTTCTTCAAAATGATGCTGGAGTGTCAAGGTCCAGTGAGAAGCAGCCCACAAGTGGAAGCATAATAAGCAGAATACACAGAAGCTTGGGTGCTGGAGTTGAGGCTCATCAGGCAAAATATGAATGACCAGGGTTGCATCTTAATTGCCTGATCTGCATCCACTTTTCCATAGCCTTTTTAGCATTGTGGTGCCTTCCACCGAAGGATCCAATAAAATTTAACTCTCATTTTCAAAATGTGTCAAAAAAAATAAAATAAACAGGAGAGCTGTGGACTTAAAAGGGAACAAATCAACAGCTGCTTTTGGACAGGGTACTTTAAAGCTGTCCTGACAAGATAATGCACACGCACGTGCAAGCGCTTGCCTTCACACACACATAGTAATGGGCGAGGTCCAGGCTTGACTACCTCCACCAGGAATGCAGTAGTGTGTGTTTTGAGTTCTCCACATACTGCACACTCTCACCCAGGCAGATCTGTCAGTTTCTCTGTGTCTGGCAGACGCAAAAACACCTGAGACGCTGATAAAGAAAGGGGAATACAGAAGAAGGAGCACAGAAACAGCCACTGTGTGGGCAAATTAAGCAAATGTAAGAGGATTTGTATTTTGTTGGACACCTGCAAGTTTCTGCCAAAATTTCAGGTTTATCCTAGTATGAGTCGGTGACTTTTCTTTCTCTTGTGGATTTTTCCAGTTGTCTACCTGAAAAAATGTTTTGTGGATTATGACTGCAGGTCCTATTTTAACAGTCCGAATTGAAATCTAGATCTCCTGACAGTGCCGAGGGCTGATGTTAGATTTTTATCTTTTTTATTTTGCTGAATTTGCAGTTTAAAGAGATTAAAGACACCTAGTCTGTGTCTTTGAAGTTTGGAGTTTCATATATTTCTATATTTTTCTTTGGAATATATAAAGCATGTAAAAATATTCTTAGGAGAAAGTCAAGCATATTTTGTAATAGCCAGCTGTTCTAACATTGGAGTGAAATTGGAGTTTGAACTACGGTGACAGTGGAATGAATGATATTCATCTGACACCTGACTGAGGCTACACACACTGCTAAGGCTGAACATGGAGTCTCACTGCATCACATAGAAGTGGATCCCAAAGGTAAGAAACCCAAGATGATCTGCACACTGTATGAAGAAGATGATGATATCCTAAGTCCACAGGCTTTGTCTCTAACAACTACCTGTATAACAGTTTTTGTCAGACTGGCACCAGATGTTTTTTTTGTTTTTTGTTGTTAGTTTTGCTGTTCAGGCAACCTTATCAAATGAGTGCCACGAGAAAAGGGCAAAAGCATTAGTTTTTATTTTGTGTCATCCATTCAATAATAACCTCAATGCTATCATTTCAAAGAACACAAGTTAAATCACCTGGACTGGAATGGCGTTAAGCTCCCTGTTCTGTAAGTTTGTTGCTGTACTCCATGAATTATTAAGTTACTCATTAACCCATGATTTGTACCCATGTCTGTACTTATAGGATTTTGTAACTATTTTATTGGTACCTGATTCATACAGTAAATTACACAGTAATTAGTATCGTAATATTCTAATATGTTACCAAAAATTATTTTAAACAAAGTTTTAAAACCTGATGACATGACAGTAACTAAATACTCCTGGCAGATTGTCTATCTGGGGCAACAATGTGAGGCTCAAATAAAATTTGCATAGTCTGGTAGTTGCAGGGTGGTTTATGATCTCTGAATAAACATCCATGTCATAGGATTGTTTTCAGCCACGCTCCATATGGCCCCTAGAAACTGCAAGTTTCATTATGTCCCACATTATGAAAGTGTACAACAGAACAAACTACAACAGACTAAAGATATCAGGGTTAAATGTTTGTTTTGAGAGTGGTGATAGTGGAAAGGTCACAAGATCATCAGAATGAAAAGCTTCATCCCCTTAGCAGCATGAAACATTTTTCAGCTTCACAGTTCAATTCAATTCAGTTTTATTTGCA